GCATTTCAAAGAAGGTAAGCAAGGGTAAGAAGGGTAATACTGTCCATGACTGTGTCATGGACAGTATTAAGATACAAAATAAAATCCTTCTTACTCCACTCAAAACTAAAAAAATATTTTCAGTGGCATGCTGCTGTAGTGGAGAGCATGTTGGCATTGTAAATACGGAGTCAATTACAGCTAAGAGTATTGTACATATTAAATCTGAATGCTCTCCATTTTCTACCACAATCCAAAAATAATACTTAAAAGTTGAGTGACTTATGCCTACACTTGCTCTTTTATGGGCACGGAGCTTTACTATAAATTTAGGAACACTTTGATTGGGGCTTGGCTTGAATTTCTATTCTTCTCCACTATGACCACAGGAATCATGATTGGATTCAGATTTCCTTCTTAATAGGTGCACGAGACATGGTCTCACGTAAAAATATATTAGTGGTTGAGTTAATTGAATGTGGTTGTTTTATGGCACGGTTAAATGCATTGCTAATTTGACTGCTGTAATACTGATTTGCTACATTAAAAAACATATTTGTGTTATTATGATCTACTGGCTGGTTTCTGAATCCACTTTAGATACCACTTGTTCTAAATATTCTTTTTCAACAGTATTCATTTTTGGCTGAATATACATTAAGTTCTAAAATACTACACAATGGTAAATATAATAAATGTACTAAATGTCTTACAGTATGTTAATTAAAAAGAATGGCAAGCATTGCCAATTATATTGTATGGCAAAAAAACTACACCTGTTTCACTGCAATAAAAAAAGGTGTAACAGAGAGAATGATACAAGTAATATTCAACAATAAGGAGTTCATATAGATCTATAATGTGTTGACGCCATTATAAGTAATTATCTCTGTTTAAAATAAGATATTTTTCCCTACTGGAAACTGCATTTTATAATCAGGTAATATAATGAAAAACAATCAAAGTATACTCCATTTCACTGAGCTCATATTAAGGACAATGTTGGCAGTTTGAGAGGTGAATTGGCGCATCAAGGTCAAACAAGGTTACTGTTATAGTAGAACACAAATTTGCCTACATTGGTATAATTAACCCCATAAATGACAGGTCCTACAGGAGTGAACTAAAGTAAGATATCGACACACAGCATGGTAGAGGAAAAAAATATACATTTTAAAAGTAATACTCTTTCAGCTTAAAACATCCTAACTGGGTTCAAAGCTCAAATACAACTATTACCTTAGGAGCAGGATTGTTCAGGAACCACCTTATTACCTGATTGATAAATCAACATCAGTGTTCAAGCTGTACACATTACCATGCAACCTATTCCATTGTCATAATTTATCACAGAAACATTATACAGTGCTTATTTCAAATATAGTTTATTAGCAAGTGAAAAAACCACTAAGTACACGTGTTTAAAAATAAGAGGCTTTTAACTGGTATAGAAAACAATGTTATTGTTATTACCACAGTTTATACACAAGTCCATTATTTTGGAGAAAACATTCTTTGGTACATATTTCATGTTGAAGGATGACCAATCATGATGGAGAAAAAAACCCAAAATACTATACAGTGATGGTAATGCTTTGAAACGGGGAATTCTTTGAAAATGTTTTTGGTCTTCTAAAGTTCACTGTGCAGAATATCTTTACAAAAACCTATAAAAACAAGACAAACAAACACTGCTCAAATCATAAAAACACAACACATCATATGGGTTTAAGTAGACATAGCTACATAAACAGCATTCAGTATGCTACTAACCTACTTTCAACAGTGCATTGAAAAAGATAACTATTTGATAAGGTAATGTAGGATCAAAGGACATCCTATGAACTGCAATTTTCAGGTCAAATACAATTGCCAGGCTAAAGTTTTTTGCTTTATCATGAAGAACGTTGACAGCAAAAGCAGTATTATAAATATTAAAATTAAATGGACTCTAAAAGAAAATGCCATCTAATTTAAGGAAATGCCATCTAATTTCCTTCCAAGAGATCTAAGATCTTTTTTTATAAAACACCATTAAATGAGTTCTCTCCAGTCCAAAGCTTTATTTTAATATGTGACATGGCATAAGTAATGGTCCACAGTAGACTGCTTGCAACATATATTTGGATTAGACCTGTAGATATAAAAGACTTGTGCTGATCACTAGGAAATAGTACCCAATATTAGCCTCCACATTCTCGTCTTTCATCAAGCTGTGTGGCAGGTCCACCGATCAGGATAGATTATCATTTTTATCTGGCCCACCATACATAATAAGCATTTGTGTATCTTGTTCTGCTCCTCACATTGTACCTACACTGTAAGACCACACCTTGCATTAGAACAAATGCTCCTGTGCTGTTAACATGGAACAACTCACTCATCTGTACTATTTTGCAGCAAGGAGCATAAATAAAGCTTTGCTTATTAAAACAGCCTATTAAGCTACACTTTGTCTTTTTATTTGGTTTTTAAAAGAGCAATTTAATTATATTACTTTTCATACGTTTTGTATCTATACTTATTTTATGCAGCTCAACGTTTCGTGAATACAGAATTAATTTTCAAGATATCACCATGGACCAATCACAACATAGGTTCAGGTTAAAGTCTTCTTTTGAAAGTAAAAAAGCATTTGTGCCAGTAAGTAGCAAACTGCAATGTTCTAAAAACATAAGTAAGGAATTACATTTGTAGTAATTCCATTAAGTGCAATGAAGACATATTAACTATTTACATTCTCTGCATCTCAATATGTGCTAAATTATATTATATTAAAGTGAAAGAGAGCTATGTAATGTGAGTCCTGGGTCTTCAACAAACTTGTGAAGTTGCCAAAACAAGTAAATATCCCACAATGATTTGTAAATTTATAATATGTCCAGCAAGCAGTAGAAACCTACTGCAATTGACACATTGTGCGATCACAAGACTCACCATGGCCCCAAACAGGAAAGTGAGGACATGTAGTTCAACAACACCTGGAATGCCAGAAGCTGAATGGGGATCTGGATGCAAAGTGTACACTTTACCTATACCTATTATTGTGATGCCCAGATGGCATGGGGAATTCTACAGTACCGTGTCATTATTTTTAATAAAAAGTATTTCTGGTTCATACGTTAAAACAGGCGAGTATAATAGCTAGTATGTCCTTTTAGAAGCAAACCTTTGTTTGCCTATTCAATTACATTTTATCAAATAGAGAAATATTTTAAATATAAAGAGAGTAGGTCAAGACATTCAATCACAATGATTAATAAAACTATTGTTTTAAAGCAGCCTTAATGCGCGTGGGAACCAATCATGATTCGAATGGCTATAGGCAAGACTTGCAATATATTTTTGTACAGTTTATTTAGAACAAGCCATATAATAATAATAATAATATAATAAAAATAAAAAGACTAAAATGCAATTTGATACTAAGGGCATACGTATTTAGTTTATATGAATTTTAAAGGAAATCTATTAGTATCAATTCCACTTTTGATCCATGTACTGTACACTGTTTAATAAAGGCTAGTGTGCAACATGTTTGCCTTTTATTTAACACCAATCACCTAAAATCACCTCATGAATATATTTTATTCCTGCATAAACAACTACATTTGGAGTCAGCGTCATATGTCTCGGCCGAAATACAAAAAATATTCCTTGACCGTTGTACGAAACAATAATACTTTAACACAATCCTTTCATTAAACTAAAAAATTGAAATTAAAAATAACTTGGTAATCAATAAATATTGGCTAAAATAAATACCCGTGGAAAAGCTAAATAGAAAACAAGAAATATGTTAAGATAAAGAGAAATGGTCATTGCGTAAATCGAGCTCAGGCTTCTTGGCCTACACTATGTCGGCATAAAAATAAATAATTCAATACAAAAATAAAGCTTTGTGGTTAGAGATTCTCAGACTTTTTAAATACACCTGAAATTAGACAAATATTGAATAAACCTTGATATCTTACTTGAAGAAAAAGATTGTAAATGGTAAACATCGATTAACACGCATCACTTTTTTTTAAACCTCTGAATATGCTTTGTGCTTCTGTGATGTGCTATTCAAAAATAAGTATTTGAAAATCTGCGAGTTTACCTGCCTGGTTCCATAGATACAATACTGTATAGAAAAAATGTCAAAACTGCTATCAACTTCATTTATAACTTGGGCTGCATGAGAGGAGATCTATAAGCACATACTGTTAGGATTAAATATTTATTTAAAACCTCAGGGTTTTTTCTTTTACATACCAAGATCTCAAGCCTTCATTTTAAGATGTCATTGGTTCTAAAATCAATATTTTATCTTGGATACATAATGCATTTTCCCCCCTAAAACAGGCTGGCTTTATGTGGTGAAGCAAACTACACTGCCTGACTGCTGAACAATATAAAAGTGTGCTTGTTATTCATTACAAAAAAGACCAAATCGTCTAGAGTGCAATACGTTCTGTTATTTTTCAGGCCATTAATATTTTAAGCCATGCCACTTATTTAAAACGTGAATCACCTTGGGTGAAAGGACCAAGGGCTGTTATGGCTGGCATCTATTCCACGTTAAAGAAGCCAAGGAAAAGACAAATGGTGGAAGTTCTTCGCATCGGCATCAAATATTTACTGGAATGCAATTGCAATTATTTTGTAATTTTCTTTAAACTATAAAGATAAAAATAATCTCAGTTAAAGGTAATCAGTAAATGTATTCCGTAGCAATTCTGGTGCAACTTTAGACATGTGTACTTGACTTTTACAACTGTACAGGCAATAAAAAATAAAAGCGTGAATAGATGAGGCCTACAATTTGGAAGGTTTCGCAATAAGTGAAAAAGCAGTTTTGACAATGAGCTGTGATGCTATTTCACACAGAAGAAAAAATACAAGTATGATATAATGACTAAGACCATGCTATAGTAACTAAATGTTATGATTGTAAACAAGTAATACAATTTTAAGGATTTCTGTTAAGGGGAGGGATTTAGCTCTGATGCGACACATAGATGGCCCAACCTCTAGAACTAACAGAGCTGGCATAGTAGTGAAAAATATGCAGCAGTATTAGCAATATCATAAACAGTACCTGCTATCTCAGTGCACAGCTTGTAAGCAAAATTGGAAGCCTCCTGGGTAACAAGTGAAAGTATTTCTTCATCATTCTCCTCTACGACACGTTCACACTGCAATAAATGAGAACCATGTGTAGTCAATACAAAATAACACCAACCACTACATTACGTTAATCAGATATGAGTGTCTTTTACAAACTTCAATTTTTTTTTATAGACTTTATTTTATGGATTTTTTTTTATACCAAGATGATAATGAATGAATATACATGACTATAAATACAGCAGAGAATTATTGAAATTAAACAAAAGATATAAAGTATGAAAAAAAATGTAATCACTGCAATTCAATATGTGATAGAGGAATATGACAACTTAGTAAACTGTTTATTTTTTTTTTATCAACTGCAAAGTTGTTAAAATAAATATTAATTTATTCCAAGGAAAAACATTACCAAATTAATATTTAAATGGCTTTTGGAAATAATATCTGAACATTTCAAATATTGCTAAATAACTATTAAATATGATCACAAATTTTAAAAAATAGTGGCTGTTAAATAGAAGGTGAAACAAAATGCTTTATAATAGAAAAGGACAAATGCTGACATAAAAAAAATGAAAAAAACAAAAACGTCAAACTGCTATATCTCAGTTTTAAATATAAGGTACACTGAAGAAAAGCACTTGAAGATCTCAAAATACTTATTAGAAAGTCTTATAGATTCTAGTATCTCTCTCTCTCTCTCTCTCTATATATATATACATACATACACACATATATAACCATACATTCAATAAAAAGCATCATACTGAACAACTTACGGCATACTTTAAAGGACTGTCATCTCCAGGATTGAATTGGAAATTGTTGAAGTCCAGTGAAGGAAGATCTTCGTTATCTCTTGGTGCAAATCTTTTGAATGACTTTTCCTTAGTTTTAGGGTCATAATATAGGCTGTAATCATCCATTTTTTCACATATACTTTCCAAAACTTCTGTTAGGTATACTTCAGATTTCACTAAGGCAACCTAAAAAAACAAAAAAAAAACAAAAAAACAAAAAACAAAAAAGTCAGAATTATACTGCATAAAATCAAAAGCACACTAACATACTATATCAAGGAAAAAAATTAAAAAGTATAACCTTAATAACTGCGATAATTGTCAAAATATTACTTAAACAATGTAAATAGTTACATAGTTTCCATACTTCTTCTATGAATAAGAGTTGTAAAAAGCCCATTGCTTAGAATAGTTGTTGTTCGCCATCTCCAATGCAGCTGTTTTAATGCTTCCCAGGGGCTTTGTGTAGAAAATAATAGCTTACAAAATGTAACTTCTCCCAGGTTCTACTGTTTCAGCTTTATTTCATAACAGCTGGTCCATGTCTTTGTCTCATTCGCTTTCCTCCTGAATTAAGCAAGAATTCAAGAAGCTTTTACACACTACCTACATACTTAGTGAGTGCCTCAACAGCAAATACTCAAAGGGTCAAAGAGCACCCAGTATTCTTGGTAACCGGCACAAAAAGCCCACTCCCCAGTCTAGACAGGTCAAGGTGCAAAATGGTCCTATCTCTGTTGCTTCTTCCGGATTGGGGGTGTGAAGTGAAGCCAAGTGCACAGTAAACAATACTGATGCATCTTTGGGCCTTTCGGAGGCTTTCTCTCCACCCTCTGCTGATCAAAGTAGGAAGTTTTCATGACAACCACAGTCAAAGGGGTCGAATCACAAATGAACTAGATTTCTGCAATGTTGATATATCCAGTCTCTATTGTCTCCTTTCAGACACAGTATGAACCCTTCCGGTCTCAATGACTACATTATAGAGGCACTTTCACATGTGTGCTTCATTTACACAAAGGGTTTCCTTGCTTCACCACCATCTGGACACAAATCAAATAAATACAGGCTGGAGAATTAAAATTTGTGGCTAGCTTTTATTGTTTCATTCATGCTCCATTTAAAATTCAGCCTTCTGGATGTGACATTTGTTTCTGAGCTAAGTAAAAAAGACAAAGGAAACTATATTGTTTGTATGGCACATTGCATTGAATTCACAATTGGGGTTTTTTTATTGCAGAAAAAGAATTCATAGCTGTGACAAATTTAATATCACTGGCATTTACAAAACTATATACAGTATTTATAATATAAAAACTATTTTATGCCAGACTGCATTGTATAGAAACACGTTTCTGTGGTGTTGCAGGACACCTATAAAACTTTCAGTAATGTTGGTAAATGCCTAAATGCAAGGCTGACACAATTTATATTTTTTTTGATTTTCTTTGTAGGCTTAGTGGTTTGCATTTTAAGATTTGGCAAATAAATAGACCAGTGCAATGACCCAGCTATACATGAATCTAGCAGCAATACAAGAATGCATTTAAATAAGAAATACGCTGGGGCAATTTTGATGTGTGTCACTATCATTTTCAAGTCAAGCTATTTATCCACACAATTATACATCGCTGAAAAAAAAAAAGCATTTTTAACACCTAAATGTAATGCTGAGACAGCTGACGAAACTTAAATCCATTGAAAAGCATATGCAGACGGGGCCTGTCTGAGCTCTGCTGGCACCCATTGCAGAGGCTAAAACTGGCACCACCCACAGCTGCTTCAGTCATCTGAGAATGCGGCATTGTTACTGTGAGTGACAGCAACAGCACACAAACCTTTGCTTCCAAACTCATATCACAATATACAAATTAAAGAACATTGCCCACTGCAAGTTAGGTCACACTGCCCAAGGCCGACCACACAGACAGCATAACTTAGGTGAGTTCTGTCATAACTTTGATGTTCATTTATGGCATATAGGCTTCTAAAACGAACAGACCCTCAGAAAATTCCCCTTTCTCCAAAAATTGCACTTCTAATGTTTAATGCCTGTTGGGTGATCTTCTCTATGAGGCTATAAAGGGAGGCACTTGGTTTTCTCTGCTTTTTACCTTGCGGCATGAAAAATTAAAGATAACATTTTCAAACCGGTAAGTTCTTTTGCTATGTAAAAGCAAAATCTCCTGCAGACCACTGATATGACTACTTGTGCTCAAGGAAAGGTAAACTTTAAAGTATCCACATCATTTGACAGGTTTTTCATTAGGAAATTACCAGGTAATAATACAGAGACCTACAATAACATGAGCAGTCTCCAACATATGTTTTATGATCCATCCATGAATGAAGACATATTAACTGTGTGATTGGGGGTTATCTCTGGAGTGCAATGTAAAGCTGATAAAAATATCCAACCTGGTGAGTAAATCTCAGTGTCCTGAATTCAACAGATGTGACTGTTTGTAACCTACACAATTCTTGAAATGTCAAAACTGCCATACTAAAGATAGATTTGCTATGTGTATATGCTGCAACTGGGCTAATAAGAAGTTGGCTTAAAGTGTATGTAAACCCTAAAAATTAACCTTCCCTATTTGCTTACTGTTTGTCTGGTATATATAATATTCAAGGCCCATGCACACTGGCTTAAAAAAAACCTCTGCTTCTACAGTTTTGTTCTTTGCCTGTAGAAGCAGCTCAATGTTATCCTATGTGCACATTAGGGTGTTTCAGAGGCATATTTTAAGCTAAAAAAAAACCCTGTTTTGCATTTTTGAGAGCAGCTTTCTGGCAGAAAAAAAGCTAAATGCGTCTATATTAGCATTTTTTTTCTGCCAAGGAAACTGGGTTTTTTTTAAGTCAGTGAGCATGGATCCTCAAAGTGTTTTGTTGTAAGCTCAAAAAGAACAGAAAAAAAGTATTGATCCTGCCAGGAATCCAGTAAGTGTGAATCATCTTGTAGTGAGGTACGAATGCTGCCTCTGCTGTACTGAAATTCCAAGCAGTGTTATCAGGTAATGAAAGGGGGAGCTGTTCTGTAGTCCAAATCAGGAGAAAGCAGCCTAGGGTAACAACACTGCTCCTCCACAGACACAATGAATAAGCATTGTCAGCTGAAAGCAGGTCATAGACGTGCTGAAAACTGAACAAAATTTGTGTCGATTGTCAAATCGGTTGCTTTTCGCATCATTAGTGTGCCAGCTGCAACACATGATTTTTGTGCCACAGTCGAAAGTGCTTGATCCAACATGCTGGGGTTTTTTTTTTCAGAGAAACAAAATAATTTGTGACACAATCATATAAGCTATTTTGTTTTTTGATCAACAGAACTTTTGGTTTTCAACTCGTCTATGGCCTGCGTCAGATAGGAATTGTCTATCTGGCAGGATCACCAAGCGAAAACAAAGACAAAAGAATGAAAAAAAAAAATTTCTAATGCCTAAAGCAGCCACCGCATCTAAGAGCTTGTAAGTTGATATATATATATATATATATATATATATATATATATATACACACACATACATATATATATATATATACACAGATATATATTTATTTTTTGTTCTGAGTTTAGATGCACTTTAATTCAAAAGAAAAATTTTATATTATCACTTTTTCATCTAAATTGAAGCTTAACTTCAGAAGCTGTTTTATCAGCCAATGCATTTGTAATTTTAAAGGCTAAGCTTACCTGTAAAGCAGACCTCCAGGCAAATTTCACCTTCCCTGTATACAGTGGGGTAGTGCCGCACTGCATGGGTTAAGTGTTCATTTGTCTAGGGGTGAACATAGAGCCTATACTTACCTGATACTTTGATCCACCGGAAAACAGCACTCCCCTAAGTCCAACGGTGGACTGTTCCTGCTGTTTCATGTCCAGAGCCAGTCCATGGGTATGATGATATCAGGAACAGTCCTCTGCACAAGACTGCTAGACCATGGGGGGGAAGGAGCACCAGGGGCCGATCTTATGTTGGGAGTATTGGCGGATTAGGTGAGTATACCTCGGCTCTCCAATCCCCAAGACAAAAACAAGCACTGCATGGAGAAAGAAATATGCCCCAAGTTAAGCTTTAAAGAGAAAAAATAAATAAATGCACACAGTTTTGCAAGAAAAAACAATATTTTTTCCATAGGCACCTACAAAGCATTGAACCCATGATCAGTGGATCACAGACAATTCTGCTACTGCAGACACTTCCTAATTCTGTAGAAAACTTTCAGTTATAAAGCTGGAAAAAGTGTCTTAGTGGATTACAAGTGCAGAGAAATCAAATTGTTCTGCTGCCGCAGTGGTGGACGGGATTTGTAGTTTATTCATTAACAGATTACATGAATGAATAAATGAATGAATGACACGGCTACGCAGGTGGAGCCCTGCACAGCTACGCTGATTTTAAATGTGACAGCGGCTGTGCAGGAGAAGAATCCCCTAAACCGTCACAGGGGAAGGGGAGGCTCTGGGGGTGGAAAACGGATGCTTAGGAACATGTAACACCTTAAATACAGGTGTATCATACAACCTGTTCCAAAAGGTGAACCTATCCTTTAAGTAGTCTTCTTATTCAAAAATCATTTTTCGCCTAGTCCACGACCTTCATAGTGGTGAAGCAGACGAGTTTGGTCAAAGCCACACCCTTAATCAGCTGACCACAAAAAAAAAAAAACAAAACAAAACATGGATGGGTATTCATTACTGTACTCTTTCATCCCGCAAGCAGGTTTACAATGTTAGTCTGGCAAGTACTGTGCTCTGCAGCAAAGCCTGGTTGGCTCCTGAAGCTTCCCTCTTGTCTTCCAATCCTCTTACACAAAGATTTACAGGTAGCCAATGTAAAGACAATTTCATGATTACTGTTAATAATAATACATTTCATAAACGTAAGCCTTCAGATTAATCTGTGCTTTTAGTATAGTATCCACCTGTAATTCACATTTAAAAATAAAAATGTTTAAATATTTTTTTTGAGCTATTTACTATAAAAAACAAAAACAAACATACACAGGTCGCAACCGTTGAATTTTGTAGAGACGATGCAAAGAGGATAGCATTATTATGCAATCCCCCACACCTTCCCAATATAAAAGTAGGGATGAACAGTATAGTGTATTGTGTATTT